TTTTTTTTTATGTTCTTATGTTCACAATTATAGTTTTGAGTTTCATTCTTTTATTTTTTATTACAAACTAATCTAATCAACTAAGGTTATAATGTACTTTTACTACAAGAAAATGGGTTTTTTGTGACTGAAATGGTGTTTGATTATCAATTGGTCACTAGTATTTTTATATTTGTAACTAATTTAAGATAATAATCACTAATATTAATTTTTAATATTATAATATATAATTTGAACACAAAAATAATATTTAGTCACTAAAAATTTGTCACAATAAACAACTTAAATTTGTGATAGACAAAATTATCACAAATAAATTAACTATTAGTTACTTGAAAAATATAAGTTACACAAGAGAAATTTATGTCACAAATGCTCTTTTTTTCTTGTGACTAAAGTTATGATTTGTAACAAATATATTTTGTGACTATATTTGGTTTGTTACTAAAAAATTTCACAAGATGTAACAAAATTTTTTGTCACAATTAATCCACAATTTAATTTAAAAAATAAATAAATTAGTTACAACAATATTAGTCACTATAAATTAGGTAAATATTTGTAATTAATAAAAATCTACCACAAATAAAGAAATTTCATCATTTATAAATTTGGCCATGAAAACACTTAAATATCACCAAAATAAATGGTGTCAACGCTAAGAGCATGTCCAGCGTCAATAATTTGTCTTTGAATCCAAGTCCTCACTACAAGAAAATTCATATTTAGTGACTAAATTATTGATCATTAAATATTTATTTTTCGTCACAAATTATTATTAGTGATAAAATTTAAACCGTTAGTAAAACCCTTGTCACTAATACTCTTAATGATAAATTAGGCACATGTCACAGAAAATAATTTTATAGTGATAGAAAAAATTGGTATTTTTAACAAGTTATTTATAACAATTTTATTTGTCACAAATGCAATTATGATGCAAAATTTAGTAATTAATTATTAAAATTGATATTAAATAAAAAAGATATTTATATAATTACAACACAAATATTTTAACAAAAATTTTGTCACCAAAAAATAATATATAAATTTATCACAAAAGTTTAATAAAAAATATTATTATTTCATACTAATAAATTTTGATTAAAATTAATCAAACCCGATTAAAATTAATCAAACCAAACCCAATTAAAATTAATCAAGGCCGATTAAAATTAATTAGGCCCAAACTAATCTCAAGTTTTATTGAGTTTCACATGTTTTATAGTGCAAAAATTTATTTTCTTAAATATTTCTTATCGATGTGGGATATATTTATAATGCGAAACATTATTCTCTTATGTGTTTTTTATCGATGTGGGATGCATTGATTAGAGAAAGTTGACAGTTTTTAGTGACAAAAAATATTTTTTAGTGATAAATTATTTGGTCATCATTGAATGTATAAGGTATATGTGACCAATATTAGAATTTTGTCATAATTGTAATGCATTATAATGATGATTTTTTATCGATAAAAATTTATTTTATCTCTATGAATATTTTTCGGTGACAAAATATATTTTTTATGATGAATTTTTTTGTTCATCATTAAATATGTATACATTTATGATTAATTTTTTAGATCTGTCACAATTGTGATAAGTTATAGTGATGATTTTAAAATTTATCACAAATTTTTGTCACTAAAAATCATTTTTCTTGTAGTGCCTGCTTCTTTTCTCATATAGTTTCTTAAATTCATTTAGAAATCAGATTTAGCCAGATGATGGGCCATTGAATTTGCTTGACGCCTCACAGACGAAAATGAAAAAACATAACCTATGGATGCTAGCTGCAGTATATGGCCACAACTATTAGACAGAAACTCCATTCAAGCAAAATAAGCCAAAATATATTTTGATTCTCCATAAAAAAATATTTGGGTGCTAAACTTTGATTATTTTTTAGTTTACACTTCTATCCATGACATCAAATCAAAAATTTTAAATTAATAAACATTGACTTGACCTAATTCTTATAGGTAACACTAAATTTTGATTTAAAATTACTGATGTCTCATCATTTCCTTAGTTATAAGATCAAATCCATGCTTTATTAGGCAATTCAGAGAATGCATATGCTGATTTCTGAACCTCTAAAAATGTAAATGAAAGTCATTTCTTTGACAAGCAAGAGTCCAATGGTCCATAGTGTAATAACTGAATACGATTGAATAATAGTTCAAATGTTTCACTTAGAAGACAAACAAAATCAAAATAATTGAATCTTCTGTAGTAAACACTGAGACCATTAGTATAGCCACTGAGCTCCAATAAAGCATTTCATTTGAAGCTGGTTCCATCATCACCTGAAAAATAAAATGAAACCAAAATATGACAAGGATATATCACAAAACCTTAGAAATTAAGGATGCTGCACATGGTCATGGACCAAGTTTACCATTAAAACATTGACAAGGATATATCACAAAACGTACAAAAGAGTTGAAGCAATCAATCAAGCATTGCTTCACAATCAAAGCTATCCTTAGTAATTAATTATCAGAACCACCAATAATTAAAATTAAAAGGATTAAAGAATAAATGAACTTCATCTAGTATTCTAGTTTTACTAACACATTTCCACCATCACCAATAAAGTTCAACACTAATAACTGCAACCAAAACCATCTCAACGTTCAAAGCATAAAGGCTATGTCCTATGTGTGTGTTTGTATGCAACAATGTCTTTAATCTTTATGCACGTGTATGGAGATGGCCAAGGACAATTCAATAAGTACTGTCACAATTGGACAGTTAGCCAAAGAACTTGTGCTTTAAGTGACAAGTTCCTGAAAATGTTGACAGCCACCTAGCAACAAGAGAAATTAAGCAAAAAAGTAAAATACAGAACCCACTGACATACAATATAATAGGTTGAAGAATCTGTGGCAGATATAATAGCATAAAAAAACTCAGCAGGTGAGAGGCATGGTTTGGTAATATACTTTGGCAATCAACAAGGGTAAGTTCATCACAAAGACAAAGAAGCTTATCTTTATTGAACAATATAAATCCTGATAGATAGTAGGTAAATATTACTGACAATTGAATATTCCTTTATATTCAGAATTTCCTTCCCTATCTACATTAGTTACTCCCCATCTTCTTCCAAATGCTCCATTAAAAAAAAAAAAGAAGCTTAATTGAATAGACTGTTAAACGATGAGAGAGAGGCTGAGGCCTTTGAAAATGCACTTGAATGGTCACCATGAAGATTATATGATATGTTAATAGAAAATTTAGACACCGGCTGCTATGTGGGTGGACAATAATAAATACACAAAAAAGGCAAGCATAACTAACTAAAATTGGGAAGATAAAACTACTAATAATGCACAAAGAAGAGTCTTTTGATTGCTTTTATGAATTGCCACCTTTTTAGTATTTAGAATGATAAAACATGTTTTACATCTCTAACTTATGCAAGTTCACAAAAAAATCTATTAACTCCATATTAAAACATAGAAATATATACTACCAAATATAAATTTAACAAAAAGTATGAATCGCACTCACCTCACCTCATGGTAATATACAGACCATCAAATCACCTACACATTTAATTACCTGCAAACAAACCATCAATATAAAAACCAGTTCAATAGTGTTCTAAAATTATGGAGTGGGAAAAGGATTGATAGTATCAAGTAAATATACCATTCTCATCATCTGAATCACTAACATAACTTGGCAGTTTTGGTGATTCAAATATACCATTCCCATCATCTGAATCACTAACATAATTTGGTAGACTTGGTGATATTGGGCTTTCAGGAGTATCTCTATGCAAAGAGTTAGGAAATGAAAAGCATAAATCATTCACATGAGCTCTATCAATGGAACTGTCATCTGAGAGTTCAAGAGTATGCCTTGTGGCTTTTATTTGAGCAACAACTAGTAAGGTTAAGATGACAAGATTGCCTTAAGTTGCAACAAATTTGAAAGAACTATTACCTTGGATTTTGCCATCAAAACCTTAAATAAAGAGAAACCACAATTTTCTTCAAGGGACGATGGGAAGAAGACTGATTTTGAAACCTAAAATTCTTCAAAAACTGATAATAAAAAGCTAATGGATATTTATGTTTTCATTTTAAATTATTAAA